ATAATTAATTCATTCTTGAAATCTAAAAAAATCACTTATTTTGGACCGGAGGGAGTAGTTGTTTGGTACTCCATCCGTTCATTTTTACTTGACACGTTTTGACTTTTCACGCCCCTTAAGAAATAATAAATGATGTGCATAATTTACAATGATACTCATATTAATTGATGCAAATTTTATTAAATTTGAGAAAATGATTTGAAATGAGTAATAAATACAGTGGGTATAACAATTTTTTTTGTCTTCTCTTGAGATGCGTAAAGTGATAAGTAAAAATAAAAATCTATTTTTAATATACATGACAAGTAAAAGTGAACGGAAGGAATATATTTGATAAGTGGATTCAGATTTGATATATGTATTGAGTTGGGGGGCCGTCAGTAATGGCGGCATTAAAAGCTAATAATGGCGCTACTACGTAGTTATAATTTATTGCATGCACATTTTTCCATTACTACTCCTAGACCTTTTAGCTACTTTATGTAGCTCCATTTAATGTTCATTTGTAGTAGTAATTTTTTTGAGAAACTACTAGTACTATTTTCCTTTCGAAGTAACAACAATTAATATATCATCCATTATAAAAGTTTATATAAATATACTTGGTAGTACTTATTAATTAACTGTAGTGATAACATTATATGTGTGAAGATATTATGTATTCATTAATTGGTGAAAATATCAGCTAGTAGAATGCTTTATCGAATGCGCCAACCAACCCTTGGTGTCAGACTTAGGTTTGCCAACTCCAACTAGAAAACTAATATTCTCTCCGGTCCAAAATAAGTGATATTTTGACCTTTTTTTTTGTGGTCCAAAATAAGTGATTTTTTCAGATTTCAAGAATGAATTAATTATTTTTTTCCTACATTGCCCTTGGAGTAAATAGTGTTGGAGTATGTGTTAGGAGTATTTATATGAAGAGATAGCAAAGGTTAATATGGTCAATTTCAATGCTAATTAATGCTAAAAGGTGGATTTCTTAATATGTGTGAAAACAGCTAAAAAATCACTTATTTTGGACCGGAGGGAGTACCGCTTAAGCTCCTGAACCGACATGATCGATATTGAACTGAAGTGGGGGTTAAAGCAGCCAATAACACATCATCTTTACTTGGTAGGGCTTAAAAGGCTATTTTTCTTTCATGTCTAGTATCTTCAATCCAAGCCGGATGAGATTAAGCAGCTACCGACCGTTCCGACTCCAAGTATATATTATATCAAGATTACAATAATGCAATATTTTGTAATGCAGCTTACTTAAGTTATGATTCCTCCTAAGGTTTCAATAATAATCAGATGTAGTTTGAATATGCCTTCAATCATATTTATTTGACTTTTGTTTGCTTGAGGGTGGGCTTTAATAGGTGGTGAACTTTTGACATTATTGTTCTACAACTAATTCCCATGTAAAAAAATAAAAAATAAAAAAAATTCCCATGTTACATTTCCTTTTTCCTTTGCTTGATTTGTTGCATTAATACGTACTGCTTCTTTAAGCACGGCGCAGATATTGCTGCATGATCACTAAGTCAGCCCAATTATTGTGTCAATCACAAATATACTTAGTAAAATTTATGGTTGAATTTCATCTATGTACGAAACTTCCAAACTGCCTTTGAATAGAATGACACTTAAAATTCAGAATGCAATAAATGAACGATACAATTTCTTTAAAAAATCTCTCTATAATTAATACTCTCATGTTCACTTTAATTTGTCTACTTTGAACTTTTCACCTCATTTAAGAAATAATAATTGTGGTATTTATTTTACCATATAACCCCTAATAATGATAGCATTTCAAAAGTCTTCGGAAATAATTTTGAAAATGAGTAATTAATAATAGGGTAAAACAGGAGAAAAGAAAAGACTGTCAATCTCTTGATTTAGTATAGTGGACAAGTAAAAGTGAAAATGTAATTTTAGTATAGTGGACAAATAAAAGGGAACGGAGGGAGTACTTAGTTTAAAGAGATATAAATGGTAAGTTAATTAAATAATCTCTATAATTTAATGTTATTAAATAAATTTCTTAATAGATGAGCCAAAAACGACATTTAAAAGCACCAGAGGGAGTAAGATGTATCGTCATTTACCATGAATTATGATTGGTAAGTAGGATACTGAATAATAATTTCGGGATTAGATGTAAGATTATTATATATCGTGTTTGTTGAATTTTTGAATAAGTCCTGAGATTAATTAATCCAATAATTGAGTATTATTCTATCCCATATTGAGGGTGAGATAATAATTTCGGGATTAAATTTACTAAAATATTATAGATGCCCTTCTCTAAGGCTCTTCTCCCAGAGTCTTTAAACGGTTAAAATTGAAAATAAAAGTCCATTCTACTTATTTGAAATATACCAATCACATGTTATATTATATCCCGTATATCTCATTTTTAGTTTAATGAATTAAATATCTACCAATAAATAAATATTCACGAAATAACTTCATTATTATTTAGCATATTATAATTCTATCATTATAATCTCGAGATAACTTATTCCCATACCAAAAGACCCCAACAAGTAAGAAAAACTCATAAAGTCGACCAAGAAAGTTAGGAGTTCAATTGTTTAGAATTAAAGTGAGTGGGAAAAGGAGTGAAATTTTAGTAATTTTTGGCAGGGGAATGAGGGTAAAGGCAGAATTTTAGATTTGTTTGTGTGTGGATATGGATTAACATGAATACATGAGCAGATGAAGAATTAATAACCTGTTTGGTTAAGCTTTTCCAAGTTGAAAATTAATTTTTTTTTTTAAAGAAAGAAGATTTTTTTTTCAAAATTAAAGTATTTAGCCAATACTTTAGAAAAAAAGTATTTTCGAGTAAAAGTAGAAGCAGTCGAGAAGCAGAAAAAAGTAAATTCTTCCCATAAATAATTTTTGAGAAAAATACACATATAAGTACTTTTTAAAACCTTGACCAAACACAAATTGTTGGTTAGAAGTGATTTTCAAATTAATTAACCAAACACAATATATCTTTTATCAAAAATACTTTTCAAATAAACACATTTAAGAAAAATATTTCTTAAAATAAGCTGAATTTTCCAGATTGACCTAACATGCTATAACTTCACCTCAGTTTTGCTGTCTCAATTAATTAAGAAATTAAATGCTAGGTAGAGCTAAATACATGAATAAGGTGTACGGTGCCTAATTCCCCTCTGGCTCGAGGACCAAGATAAAATGAGTACTTATGACTTTTAAGATTCGCATTTAATGGCTTTCAATATCTCAATTAATGATTCAAAATTAAAATAGCTTCCTAAGATACTCTATTTACTACAATAAGTGA